AAGAAAACGTAATCACCTGTTTTACAATTTTAGAGCTGTACTATTATTTTTTAACAAGTTGCGATTGAAGAAGAAATGCAGAAAAATACATTTATTTAAAAAAGAGAAACATATAACGTTGCTTTTCAATCATTTATATATACACCATAAAACAAGCAGACCAAAAATATTAAGAATACCCCTCCAGACAGGATATTGAACGAAAGGATATGCCACGTTAAGGCTGCCCAGTACACAGTGCGAGATGTACGTCAGGCAAGCTTCTGCTTACTGGGTTGTACATGAAGAACATATGTATGAAGGAGAATAAATAGATGACAATACCTTTGGTATTAGTGCAACGCTATCCAACATGATGAAATTCTCTGCAATTAATACCGTGCCCATGGTGGGATGTATGGCGAATGACTGAGGGTTTTTAGGAGTACGTTTCTGGAACATCTGACACTTCGGGCAAGAAAGGCAATGCCCAAAAAAGTCAGACAATGGGCATGTCTTCAGTTCTCATCTTTCTGGTTTCTTCAATGAGCAAAAGGGTGTGGAGGTCCACACAAAGGAACTAGGCGATCATAAAAAACATGTCATTTGCGTCGATCTGTCTTTCTCTCGGTCTGTGTCTGTTCGCTAATCATTGACTCCACTTTTAATCGGATTTCAATGGAATTTTGATACAAGGTTTCAATTATGCCAAGGAAAAAAAAGGCTTTTTGAACATGGCGGCAGTGCTATGTATAAGAAACGAAAAAAAAAAATATCGCTCGTACATCTTATAGGTCTTGATCACATTCAGAAAAAAATGTGTAAGGGCTAAACAATGTGCGTTAGAAGTTGTAGAGGGTATACATTAAGTTACTATATTTATATGCTTCTAACCTTGGTAATTCTACGCACCTTTTAGGCTTATTTCAGACATCATGAATTTCCCAGTACATTTGCCCTTAAAACTTCAAAAAACGCATCGCATTGAGGCCACAAATGTATATATACCAGCGTTGAAATCTGACCGATGGGTGGCTGGTGAGTGTCGAGGTTAGTCATAGCAACGTTTCCAGATGGTCGGTATTGTCGGTAGGGAGGGGGGGTAGTTGTATGGGCCTCCTTGACTTAGTTGATCGAAATGATGAACTGAGTCATTCTACTTGACGCAATTTTTTTTCAGACTCTATAAAACTTCTCTTGACTTTGCGCTCTTTGTCACTCTATCCCTTGGTGGAATGGGAGGCGGAGAGTCTGGCATGTTGTAACCTAAAACCACCCCTGCAATTTTACCCCCTTTTGGGGGAGAGAGGGGTGTCCGGCAATGCGTAATGTACATTGTGCGTGTGCCAGCAGGTCTGCCCGGCGGATTGCGGTGGGGGAAGGGGAAGGGGGTATAATGTTGGTGGCCCCTGACCTGCCGTAACAGTCGGGGGGTTGATGAAAATCCAGACGGTGGCCACCAAGGGCGACGACCGACCCCAGCTACCTGCGAGCTTGCGGATCTCCCACGTTCGGTTATTGCAACTCTGCAGAGCTCCACGCACCACTTGAAAGTCTAATAATACAGTTGACTTGTGAATGAGTGAATAAAATTAATTTAGAAGCAAGTAAACTGACGTCAAAATGTATATTTATATTATAATTGATCAAATAAACTTATATATGTTGTAGCGTTCAATCTGTCAAGACTGCAGACGCCGAGCTTGGAGGGAAGACAGGCGAGCATGTGATCCGCCTCCAGGACAAGTCTTGAACTCGCTCGAGTCATTTGGTTGTCCGTAGCAATTTTTTTTGTGAAACAGTTTTTCCCATTGTGTTCTTAAAATGAATGACATCAATTTCGAGCAAGAACCGATGAAAATATAGACAGAATCCGGGATCTTACGCATTCAAATCGTCGGTTGATAGTTACACAGCAATGTCAGCAAACGAGTTTTTTATCAGTAAAAATATTTCTGTGATTATTACCAATATTATGAATGAGAAAATGTGGATGTTTGTTACTCAACCATGCCAAAATGGCCGAATAGATTAAATTTATTACAAATAAAGATTATAGTCCGGAATAGCACATAACCTACTTTTCATCCCGGGGAATAATTTCGAAATAAATATTTTAATACAGCCAGTATTCCCGAATCGAAAATAAGAAATCGGTAGATGGTGTCTTTGAAATTCCGTAGAATCAAGGACAAAATTGGTAGGAAAATGCAAAAGTTATATTTTTCCTTTGCGCGCGCAGATACAGCACAAGTACACATGTTTTCCTTGTCATTTTGTTATTGCATACAGACGACAGATTTACAGGATTTCTATATACAGGGTGTTTCAGTTTATTGTTGCATAACTTTAAGATTCGATAGAGCTTTTAAAATTAATGCATAAAGTCTATATAAACATGGGTCGAAAAATGCGTGGCTTCCGAAATACAGGGTGTTTAAATTTACTTTCTAAAATAGTTTTTTTTAAATATTTCGAACAATATTTGAAGTATAACAGTGAAAATTGGTATACAAGGGTTTTTTGGTACGACAAAAAACCATAGTTTTACTGTAGCCGCTAGAGGGCGCTCTCTACTGTACCTGTAGTGTATTAAAATGACCAAAAAAATTTTCTTAGTGCAATTTTTTGCTTTTTGAATAAAAAAACTGATTCTTCGCACTTTTCAACATAAAAAAGCTCTCCTGTGAGTTTTCGTTAGCCGTTTTTGAGATATTTCGATGTTTAAGGTTCGATGCATTTTTAATTGTTTATGATAAAATAACGTTAAAAAGTCAGTATCTCGATAATTTTTAGAAGTAGGCTGTGCCTGCAAATATTTTTGATATTGAAAGCAGAATAAGGTTAAACGTCAATTAGTTGACAGTTAGTTTTGTTGTCTGTGTCATATTAATGTTGATTGAAAATACTAGAAATCGAGCTGTTATTAATATTTGTACAAGATAGATGATACTTATCGAAAAGTTGGCTTCAGGCATGATGTAATGGGTTGTCCAATAGGGACGCAGGAAAGTAAACGTCAATTTGACATAGACGCCATCTTTGTTTTCTGTCACCGACATGTCATTTTGTTAGTTGAATGTTTACCATTGATCGCTATGGAGTCGTATTCGATTGAAGGCCGCATTAAAGTTATTCAAGAGCACTACAAAAATGGTGCAAAAATAAAAAATACTCAAACCGCTCAAACGAAACAACTATCGGTCGTCTGGTGCGTAAATTCGAGGCAACAGGTTCTGTGGCAAATCTGCCAGGCTCTGGCCGGCCAAGGAGCGTTCGCACACCGGAAAATATTGCTGTTGTGAAGGAGATTGTGAGAGACGATCCGAAACAATCAACAACGCGTCGATCCCAAGAGTTGGGCATCTCGAGAACCAGTTTGCTCCGCATTCTCCACAAGTATGTACACGCCTACAAGATCCAATTGACGCAAAAGCTGCGTCGGGCCGACCATTTTTCGCGCCGAACGTTCTCAGATTGGCTCCTTGAACACCGCCAAATTGATGCCAATTTTTCATCAAAAATCATGTTCAGCGACGAAGCGCATTTCACTTTGAATGGGACGGTAAACAAGCAAAACTGCCGCATCTGGGCGAACGAAAATCCCCGTGAGTATCAAGAGCAGCCGATGCATCCTCAAAAAGTGACTGTGTGGTGTGCATTGTGGTCGAAAGGCATCATCGGACCTTACTTTTTCGAAAATGCGGCCGGGGACGCCGTTACCGTCAATTCTGAGCGATATCACGTGATGATAGAGGACTATTTTTTGGCGGAACTTGAAGGAATGGATATGGACGATGTTTATTTCCAACAAGACTGTGCAACATGCCACACAACCAACGTCAACATCCATCGATTGCAGTCCTTCTTCGGTGATCGCGTGATTTCGCGCAGAGGAAATGTGCCAAGGCCACCAAGATCGTGCGATTTGACTCCCGTGGACTTCTTTTTATGGGGATATTTGAAAAGCAAAGTCTACGTCAACAAACCAGCCACCCTCCAAGAACTCAAAAACAACATCATTGCCGAGATAAATGCCATAGAACCGACCATGTTGCAAAATGTCATAGAAAATTTCGACCATCGCGTGGACGTCTGTAAATCCAGTCGTGGTGAACATTTGAGCGATATTATTTTTCATAGATAAATGGTATAAATGAACCTTCAAAATAAAGTACCCAACTTGATTTGAATATCAATCTTTCTTGTTTTAATATCCGTTTACTTTCCTGCGTCCGTTTTGGACAACCCCATATTACTTAACGGATATAACCTCTGTAATTTGGAGAAGAAACTATGCTGTTTGCGTATTTTTATATGAATAATGTGATAGATGTGAATATTTACTCAGTAAGATGCATATCCATGTATCTAATGCTAAATCGCGATCCAATGAAGATCTATGCTCATCACTATAACTTCAAGTAGGTTGACTCTACACTTCCCTCGCAGTGCTGTCATTAGTTCATAAAAGAATGTCGATGGACTAATTGTCTGGACCAGTTTGACTGACTTGATCTGTTCAATTTTTCTGTCATACATGTTCGTTGCCTACTGTTTTCTCAGAGGGTCTAGCTTGTACCGAACGTAATCCTTTATGAACTGATGACAGCGTTGCTTGGGAAGTGCAGAATCAACCTTCTCGACACCATTTTTACTTCCTACGCCAAAACTGGCGAGGAATTATTGCAATTGCCAAAAATTTAGAAATTGACATATCATGTTTTTGGATGTTTATGATATAACCGCCTATAACTTAAGAAGTACTGATAGGATTGCGATAAAATTTTCACACAAGGTTACTACTATATCAAGAATGAAAAAGCTTTGTAGTTTTTCAAAATTGGTATAGTGGTAGGCTAGGGGCAAAAACAGAAAAGATTAAAATCCAACTAGATATACCGCTTGATAACAAAGATAGCTGTTTCGCTCCGTTTTTTGGCTTAATGTCGCTTGCTTCCACAGTGCAAACTACCCTCCGGGTAATCAACCCCGCTCACGTTCGTCGCGTATGTATCAGATCAGCACCCTGCACCCCGTCTGTCTGTCTGCGCCATCGGTCCGCCGTTTTTATCGGATTCCGAATTGCCAGACAAAACAAATTGCTGAAATATTAAGGGGGCAATATAATAACGTTGCTGGCAAGGGCGTCGCCGACGCGCCACCGCCACGTTTGTTCGCCATTTCTACGGAGCCGCGCGACGCTCGGCGTCGACTACAGGGTTGGATTTGCCCTATCGGACATCTTTTTGCTGTAATTGAAAAGTACAGATTGGAAATAATTGAGTCCACGGTCTCCTGTGTATTCTAGTCAGGCTCTTAAGGGAAGGACTTTAAAGTAGATCCAGTATGTTACTACGAGCTGGTATTTGCTGCTTTACACAATACAACAAATTGAGCAATTTTTTAACCTTGAAGAATTTGTATCGTGTTATCATAGACATTGTCAATTTATTCACAATAATAAATTCATGAGTAAATTGCCAGAGTAGAGCTTGTTCAAATTTTCCGTCATTTTTGGTAATTTCTAGTTACTTTTGTTTTTTTTTTCTAGATATCAAACTCCGTTATTTGACGCTTTCGCGTTTTTTGATTTGATATTAAAATTATAATTCTTACAGTTAGGCATGGCGATATGGTTTTAATTTACGATTTAGATCAGTATGTAAGCTTAGGTTATGTTTTGGTCCTTTTTGTCTGAGATTGGTATCATAGGAAGTTACTATAATATGTTGGTATGCTTGACATGAATAAATTTGATCATGCAATTTTGCTACCTGTTACCTTGGAAATTGATCAATTTTTCTTACACTTTATTCGTGCATTCATTTGATTATGTAAAGTGGCTATTAGGCTACAATCATAAACGATGTGCGTAGAGATCAGTCTTGGATACTATTCCACTCCCGGTATTTTGAATCCAATTCAGAATACATTTGGCTTGTTTTCGAATACTATTCGAATACATTTGTGTATTCCGTATCTTGTATTCGACTTAATACTTTTTTGGTCAGTACTCGGTATTCTGGATTCTGAATACGTTTCCTAAGTCCCAATATTCGAATACCCACTTTGTATCTCGGTATTCGAATCCTGTTTTCGAATACTGTTTGGTTATGCTTATGAATGTTGCGTCACGAATTACGCACCTAGAGCATGCTAAAACACGTTTGCCGTGCTTGTGGATGACAGAAAATAGCTACGCAAACTTACCTTGTTTGTGTGGACGGTGGTGCTTGTGAATTCGCGATACCGACAGGTCGCTTAAGGAACGAGATTAGTTTACCTGTACGTATGTACTTGTGCTTGTGTAGTATTGACATTATATTTCTTTAATAAATTTTAATACCTATTATAATTTGTGTGTGATGCCAGATAAAGTAGATATGCGAGCCCCTTCCCACTTCAGTTGGCCCACCTCAAGATTTGTACCAAAATATGCCTTTATAAACTAAACATGACGAAACTATTTACTTCTCAAACAATTTATTTTCTCAAAAACATTTTAGATACACTCTAGTCGTAAAAGATACATATTTGAAATCACTTAGACCTATAACTAATAGAACATCTGAACAAATAAACAATGTGCGAATAAATGCGCGAAGTTAACAAAGCAACAATTGAAATATTACCATTGGATAACATCACCTTTATCTTTTATTACGGCTGAAATTCTTTGGGGCATAGTGTTAACCAAGTTTTGGCAAAAATTTGGTGTAAAACAATCCCATATTTTTTGAAGCTTTTGTCTCAGTTCGGTGATTGTTCGAGCAGGATGTTGTCGTAGAACCTTTTTCATCTCGTGCCACAAAGTTTCAATAGGTGACAGATCTGGGGTGCTTTCTAGCATGGGTTTCTACCCATTTCAAAAGTGGTAGATACATCATTTTCTTCCATCCATTTTATAGCCCTTTTTGAGGTATGGCACGCTGCACCATCTTGCTGAAACACAAAATCTTGGCCGGATGTCAAACATTCTTCTATCACTGGTAAAAGCGACTCTTCAAAAATTGCCAAATATTTGTTTGTATCCACATTTCCATCATTAAAATGAAGTTTTCCTACTCCTTTTGATGACATACTGCCCCAGACCATAATGGATGCTGGAAATTTCACTTTTCTCTTCAGACAGTCAACATGGAATGCTTAATTTTTTTTGCGAATAACTCTACTGCGACTGTCACCAACACAAACTTCGAATCGGGCCTCATCACTCCATTGTATTGCACACCATTGTTGAGGTGTCCATTATTGTCTATGTTCTTTAGCCCGTCTAAGCCGCTTTTTCTTTTGCAGTGGAGTTAATAGTGGCTTTTCTTTGGCCTATAAACAAGTTGTGCAACTTTAGGGTTTTAACTTCACTTTTTTTTATAACAAAACATACCTTGCAAGTGCTAAATCCCAGTTTGCGGGCCTCTCTATGAGTTGTGAACCTCGAACTTCTCCTTCCAACAGCGTCACTCCACAGTTCACTTAATTGTAAATAATTGGCACGCCTGTTTTTCACGATTATTCTTCTTAATGCTCTTCGGTCGGCATTTGTGATATTACTTTTTTTCACATATCGTGGCTTAATATTAACTGAACCAGTTACGTTATATCTTCTAACAATATTTATCATACTGTACCGCGATAAGTCTAACAAAGTTGAAATTTCTGAGTTTGATTTCCCAGAATAAAAAAATTTAATTATCAGTAACTGAATTTTCTCACTAATAACCTTGCCTCTACCCATTTTGAAAACCTTAACTACCCAAAACTATTTTAAACGTATTCTGACAGCTGTGATTAATAAAAACAATTGTCATGGCTTTTATTTTTCACAGCCACCTATGCGTTATAGACTTATTTTGCATTGAAATGAAAATAGGTTGATATGCTGTAATTGCAACATGTGTTATTTTTATGCTGCAAATTTGATTAGGGAGTGATAAAGTTGGTGTTTTCTACTATATATTATCAAAATATTCATTGTTAATATTTTAAACGTACAACACCCTGCTACATTTTTATTATTTGTGTTTGATAAGAAAAAACTAAGACTTCAATAGTAAGGCCAACTGATGTGGGAAGGGGCTCGTATATAAAAAGGTAAATTTATTTTCTAATTATGTAGGTAACTTATGTAAGATTGATATAATTTCTTATTAAGTTTTACTCTATTAATTTTCTATAAAAAATCTAAAAATAATCAATAATTTTTTATTATAAAATTAATTTGTCTAACCTAACTATGACACTTAACAACGCCCATAGTATTCCAGCCGCAACGTTATCGGTTATCGATGTCGTCGAGACCTCGCGATACACGGACGTACGGAAGTTGTCCATATATTGTGCACCAGAAATGTTAAGCTAATACGTACGTACCAAAAAAAAAACCGGAAGTATTTTTCAAAAGCTATTTATTTTCAACTTTTCCACAAAGTAACCTTATCTCCTTCAAAATACTAGTACACTTGTCCCACTGGTGCTTCAACTGCAAGCACCAGCTCTCGATTTTTTTCAACATTTTCGTCGACAGTTGATGGACGTGCAGAGCGAGGGTTGTCATCAATCGACATGTCGCCATTTTTAAATCGAGCAAACCACTCGTACACCTGAGTTTTTCCCATAGCATCATCTGTGTAAGCTATTTTCAACATTAAAACAGTTTCACCAGCATTTTTACCAATTAGAAAGCAAAATTTCACAGCTGCACGTTGCTCACTGAAGCTTGCCATCGTAAAAAACGAAACAAGCACGAAACAGCTCTAGAAAAGTAATGATAATAAGTTGCGCTGTACGCCTCTAGGGGCAGAAATGTGCTACACAAGCTCCGCTCACTTCAATGCTATTTCGGTTATTTTTGGGATACCAGAACGTCCAAAAATTGACATGGTGCATCTTCAGTGTCCTTACTTCCAATTCTTTTGAATCAACTATACTCTTTTTTACTGATAGCCAATTTAGTCTACGATCTTATGTCAAGGTAGCAGTAAAGAGTCAATCCACTGCCATTTTTTATATTGTATGATATTTTCACTCCCCTCGCCACTGTGAAGTATTGTGATCGTGAAAATTGTCGTTTTTTGGATGTTATACACGTATATCACGAAAAACCGTCTGTTTGTCTGTCCGCTAGTCCCTGGCCTATGTATAATTAGAAAAGTACCAGTCGGATTTTGCTGAAATTTCCACACAAGGTTAATACTATGCTGAGCCCAAAAAGGCTTTGTAGTTTTTGAAAATCGATTCGAGGGGGTGGCGAAGGGTGTCAGTATATCAACCTCGATTATTCTACGCCCCTATTAGACATATTTCACATTTCATAGATTTCCGTACATTTGCCTTTAAAACTTAAAACGATAGAAAAATGTTTCCGACAAGCGTCCTGCATCTGCTGACTTCCAATGGCCGCGGACAGCGTGCCGGTGTTCGTATATGTCCTGCATTACTGGGCGCTCTGCCCATGCTTTCAGATATTGGGGAGAGGCGATGCGACGTTGCCAGGTGGAGGGTAATACATGGTAAGGATACTATGGGCTAATTGAACGGACCTGTTTCACTGACTTGATCCGTTCAATTTCTCTGTTATACATGTACGTAACTACTGTTCTGTTAGGCTGTCTAGCTCAAACATGCTGCTTTCGTCCTTCAAACCAAAGACAGCCAACCACAAACAGCTCTTTCGTGATTTTTCGGCAACTCACCACCTTGATCTTTGGGACAGAGAACTGAAGCATAGCAACTATCCTCTATCCAGGATATAAGTTCTAGCATAAGGGCCAATTTCACCAACAACAGTCCAACCAATAGCTATGAAATGTTGAAAACAAAATACTGTCAAAGTATGAGATAACATCTTGTTATTGAAACATCATCAGCTTATTGGATATTAAGAAATTACATATAATTCAGTCAAAATTTAAACAAATGTTTGATTTTTGAATAAAATTCATGATTTAATTACTATTGTTGATTTTTTATTCATGTCTATATTATTTTCTTCAATTGATATGCGATTTTACTGATTCAAGATCATCTACTGGGTGTTTTTTCCTATAAACCTCTTGCAGATAGCCATTAAGCACCTACTTGATGACTGGCTCTACCAAAAAGTTCATAGATATTGCTCGTTTCCAAACATTCATTCATTTACTTGCCGTTCATCAGAACGATTATGGCACCTTAGATTGATATTCCCACAAAACCATTCTGGTTTTTTAATATCCATACATCCATAAAGTTGAATATTTTTCGTTGTTCAGGAACTTAACAAACATCCACACTATATTCACAGCGATTAAGAAATACCCAAATATATGTCGTAGAGCTACCAGCAAACCTAAAACCTGCAGAAAAACTCGAAATTTGCAATATTTTTCTTTTTTCACTGAGTATATATTCTGGGTTATATTTATATTAGACGTTATTTGAATCACAAAACATATACACTGATTTGAATAACAGCTGATTATCTCCTGATATTTTAAAACTAACCATATCGAAAAGTGACACATAATTCTGTGGGATCCGTCAACACTTCGTCCCAGTGCCAGTGGAGCAAACTCTGCCAACTGTCGAAATAAACTTTATTAATTCCAAGTCTTATTTTTATTTCACTGTGCCTGCTTAGATATTCAAATAGGGCCAGGAATTATTAGCGCCTGGCTATTTTAGGCCTTCAATAATTCCTTATTTTAGATCTGTCCTTTTTGTTTTTTCCACGCATTCATGGTAGAAAGAAAAATATTTTATCGAATATCGATACCGTATACCGTGCAGCAGGCATGCCCATCACTACTTTGAGCGATTGCAGAATGATGTCAAGGTGACAATCGTTATGTGGCAGTTGTTTTTGTTTTTGTCTAAAATAGGCAAGTAGGCTTTGTGTATTCATTTTTATTTTTATAGCGTTTCCAGAATTTCATATTTCGAAACGATGTCAAGGGCCGGCAGGGGAAAATCTTTCTCTATCGTCGCCATCCCTATATTGTATCCCCACCAGTCACCAGTCAAAAACCTTAACCACCAATATTTTATCACTATTTATAATTCTTTTTAGCTCTTATTTTTCAATTTTAGGTCTATGTCTACAGTAATTGCATTATGCACCTCAGAGATGTAGGGATTAACATGTTTTACACATATCGGTGTTTTAGGATGGGGACGACCATACTGTTTTGATTGCTTTGAATAAATTCATTAACCCATGAATTTATAACAAATGATTACTATATGATGTAAAGAGAGATGAGGAATTATAATGATCACATATACACACAGTATATTGAACTTAACAAATTTCGAGATTGCCATGAATTAACAAACGACCAAACCTGCTGCCAAATTTAACAGCTAGAAAATCGACCTATTATTGCTCCCATTCCCATTCGCTGAGGGGATAACGGATGGTCAAATGTACACATATAACATAAATCTAAATACATGAAAGTTGTCTTTCTCTGTACAAAAGCATCATATTGGAAGCAAAAAGTGGTCTTCTTTATAAACAGTCGAATTTTCACGATTTTATTCAACATTTTAATAGAAATCAGATATTCTGAGACCTTTGACAGCTTCCGTCAAATTGCATTTCGATAAGGTATTTTCCTATTGATCCATAATATTAATGTTGGCCCTAAGTCTAGCATAATCCTTTATGTTCTGATGAAGTATAGAGTCAACTTTCTTGACTTTATTTTTTAATATAGTGAATAAATATTTGAATTTGGATAAGCTTGTGTGATCCGTTCCTGCGTATCGCTATGGCCATACACCATACCCAACCCACCCCAATGCTCATTTCGGTTCGGCAAAAGGGAGGATAGGAGGCAAAGCGGCGGCGGCGCGACTGGATGCCGGCAGCCACCGTCACCAGGGGGCCCCGGCCACCGACAAAAGGGCATTGACATCTAGCTAAGCCCAAGACCTAACACTACAAAACGTAGAATGGGGTGATCACGAATCATGGGGCGCTTGCGAAGCAGGAATTCGATCTTGCTTGAGGTTGAAATGTGAAAAAAGAAATCGAGTAGGTTGACTCGTCACCAGGGGAGCCAGGTTGACTCGTCACCAGGGGGCCACCAGCCATCGACTAAATGCATTGACATCCATCTAACACTACAAGACGAGAAT